AAATAAATAAAATAAAAATTCCAAATTTCCTACCAATGAAACTATTAGTCTTTTCCCGCGTACCCATATGACCTTATTCAGTTGCGAGCTCCGTAAAACACTTACCAAAATGTAACCACCAAAGTAAACCACCAGTAACCAAAAATGAAAAAGTGGGAAAAACAGAAACAAAGAAATATAAATCTTTGTAAGGACTCGATGCGTGAAACCCAATTTAAAAAGCATTTTAAAAAAACAAAGGCTTTTTGATGGTTATGAAATGAAAGGGTTATGAAGGGGCAACAAGTTGAAACTTAAAAAAACACAACTTTTGATAAGAAAAAGACCCCAAACAATAGCATAATCTTTTCAACTTGCCGAATGCAAAGACTAAATGTGGCGTGATGATTTTTTTCATTTTCACTCAAAACCTTTGCTTTAAGTTTGTTTCCGTTTTTCTAGCCTTTTGGAAACGTTTTATCTGATAATGTTTTATTTTTGGACTTAAAAAAAAATGGGACAGGAGTCGGTGTAATCTACCATCAATGAATTCTAATTGTATATTTGTGTACCTCATGTTATTAACCTGTTAAAATATGGGTGATCATTAGAAAAAAGCTGCTGTTATCCCACGTTCTACTGTGGCAAAGGCTTGACGACAACTTCGTTTCCTATAGCTTACAAGTCTTTTTTTTTTTTTCCATAATAATTGGTGACTCACTGCTGAAGATTGGGGTGGAGGGGAGAGGGGCATAGCTAAAAAGCTTTTAGTGGATGAGATAAAAATCAAAGCAGTTGTGGTAGAGTGTGTCCTGAAAGACGACTACAAGTTCATAGGTATGGTGTTTTAAACAAGTGACAGATGGCGGAGGGCCAACTACTAGGCCCTGTCAAAAAAACTAAAAGAGATTTTTTTAAAACAAGCAAACTTGGTTATTTTTTTCGATCTTGAGAAACAGAGGAGCTTCTGCACCAGCATGGCCAGCGAAGGGCAATGGCATAAGCGGAAAGGACTCTACTGATCCAAAACAATTTTCATCTATAGATATTAAGATGTAAGCCAAAAATAGGGAAAGGTGGGAAGTATTGTTCATTGAGTATATCCTAATGCTGGGTGAGAAAAGGGGGGATGATGACGATGATGATGATGATGATGATGATGATGATGATGATGATGATGACGATGATGATGATGATGATG